AATCGATGTGCTAAGGTAATCGAGTATTCAAGTATTCGCAGTATTCATCAAAATAATTTTTATCTGCTATTTTCAACTATTTCGAAAACAGTGATAATAGCTTTATTAGAAAAGTAACCATTTCACTGAAACACTAATTGCATAATGATCCTTAGCCTTCATTAGATCCGAACAGTGTAATGTATTTTTTTAAGCTTGGGTTTAAAATTCAAGTTACCTGGGTTTGTCTAACCGTTTACGATCACTACGTATCGGTATCTTCAGTTTTTAATGTTAAGCTGTTTTATATATTATGTAAAAAAAAAAAAAAAAGAAAAGAAAAGAAACAAATAAAATGGATGTATTTAATATCAGAAATGAAAGCCGGAGGATGGTATTTGCCATTTTTAAAGGGTTAGCTTTGTCTCTTCATTTGTGGCAAATGTTTATACGCAGCATAAGGTAATAATCCGTTCGTAAATTGCATCAATAAACAATTTCAGTGAATCGGCGCAACTCTGAAAAAAAAAGAATACCTAGGCTTCTATTTCTTGTTAACTGAAATTATAAGTGCACTTAATCGGCTAAACGATTTTCTGAAGCATTAATCTATCGTAACTTTGTATCAAATAGTATAACTGATTTATGCCCTGCGATCATGATATAATGACCAGGGTATAATCTAACTATGATATCAGAAATAGTGACCAGGGTATATAGTTATAAATACAATTTATATCGGATGATGTTATGTCTAAATGTCGGGATCGTAAATGTTACCTGATTTAAATCATCCCTACAAATAGCGATACATCGCCCACGAAAAAATAAATTTATCATATAAGTTATTCGTGGCGATAATATACAATAAGTGATAGTCCATTAGAATTCAGTAAATAATAGTGATAGTCCATTAATGTTAAAAATTTTTTAAAAATGAACAAAAAAAAGAAATTATTTGAAGCTTGTGCCGCTTGTGTCATATGAAAATTATATTAATAAAAAAAGGAAAACAATTTGGAGAATGACTTAATAAAAGAGAAAGTTCTTTAGATCAAATACTGGTCCAAGAATAGATATTATAAAAAAAGGGAAAACAATTGGAAAGTGCAAAAGAGAAAGTTCTTTAGATCAAATATTGGTCCAAGAATAGAAAAGGGAAAACAATTGGAAAGTGCCGTAATACGCAAAAGAGAAAGTTCTTTAGATAAAATACTGTGGTCCAAGAATAGATATGAATCGGCTATATATATTTGTTAAAAAATATTTACTTTGTCATTCCTTTTGTCATTCTTATACGTACGTAGTAAAAAAATAAAAATAAAAAAGCCTTAATAATATTATCGCTGTCACCAGAGTTTTAATTATGACTTTTTTTTTTGTGACAAATACGTATTAGCGTTAGCAGGTGGCTACGGCAACGTGGCTAAATTCGCTTAGCCACGTTAGCCGGTTAGAAATGTCATGACGAAATTTATGTTACAAGTCTTATTAAATAAATAAAGTAAATTGTAATCTGGACAATAAATTTCACGTGCGTTTCGAAATTCATCCATAATGCAGTAATGTTGTACAAAGTATTCAAATTAAACATTTTATGGAGACGAATGTATGATTTATTCCATAAAATCATTCTATCGAATACGTTAAAGTGATCGAATGATGACACTATTCAAAGTCAAACAAAGTTTTTACGAAATTGATTATAAAAGGTTATAAAATTTCATGATTAACAATCAGCCCAGAATGTATAATACCGATATATATAAATAAATTTCTTTAGAATTTTCTATCGGAACCTTCTTATTTTTCCTTTGTTTTTTCGGATGTATGGCAGATCATGATTGGTCAAATAAAATATGTTTATATATAAGAAAACCAACTATCATACATTTTATAAAATTTTTTCTTTTATTTTTTTCTTTTTAAAATGGGAAAATCCAATAGTAAACTCAACGAAGACGAACTGAGGGAGTTACAAAAATGCACTCATTGTAAATATTTTTTTTTTTACGTTAAACAGTCTAATATTTTTGCCTCTCGTATCTTTAGCTTAACGTTTTGTATATTCTTTAACAAAAATAGTTAACAAAAGCGAACTTCAACAATGGTAAGGATTCTTTGAAAGCTTTGTTTTCGGAGTTTTTTTTTTTTTTTTCCTGTAAGTTTTCAAAGTAGTTTACCTTATTCACGTTTTCAACAAAAGGTATAAAGGATTTTTAAAAGATTGTCCTTCCGGTGAACTTGACAAAATCGAGTTTCAAAAGATATACAAACAATTTTTTCCTTTTGGTGATCCCTCCCGATTTGCTGAATATGTTTTTGATGTATTTGATGAAAATAAAAATGGAAAAATAGAGTTCAAGGAGTTTATATGTGCCTTATCTGTTACTTCCCGAGGAAAATTGGACGAGAAGTTACATTGTACGTTTGTTTTTTTTAATATACTGTACGAATTTTTATGGTATTGAGCCTCAGAATTGACAATTTTATCTACGATCGAATAGGGGCGTTCCAACTTTATGACATAGACAATGATGGTTATATAACGTACGATGAAATGTTTAAAATTGTAGATGCAATATATAAAATGGTCGGTAGTATGGTGAAACTACCTCCAGATGAAGATACACCAGAGAAACGTGTCAAGAAAATATTTAGTTTGATGGATAAAGTATGTTTAAAAAATAATTCTTTGTTATTCATTTAATATTCATTTATTATTCACTTACGCTGAATTATTCATTATTCTCATATCAGAATCAGGATGGTAAACTCAGTATAGATGAATTTAGAGAAGGCTCAAAGCAAGATCCTACAATAGTTCAAGCATTAAGTTTGTATGATGGGTTGGTGTAAGACAATTAATTCCCTTATAGATTTTATTATTCTTTTTCCCATTCCCCATAATATCCGAATATTTTATGAATTTTATAATAAATCAAATCTTTTAATAATAATGAATGAACAATTATATTGCATCATAAATCATCTCATATTTGCATTTCATTTCCCATTCTCAAAGCTTTAAATCAAATAATTATGTATGCTTTTCTATCAACCTTTGTTTTATTAATGCATAGTGTTATAAAAAAATTATATTATAATATACGTATATAAATGTGTATATACTTACTGAATTGTGTTATATGCAATGTGGGTTAACGGATAATATAAATAATTTACTTAAAAGGATACAATTGTGCAAGTTTGTGGCATCTGTCGATCTCCACTTCTATCTCGAATTTCGATCAAGAAAATCTTGGATACACAATTGTGTGAAATGAATTATACTTGTATTAATATTTTCATACACGTGGTAAAAATTATGGTTCAAGTTTCGCATTATATATATTTATATATATAAAACAATAAATCCAATTTAACATATACGTAGACATTCGGTGTATTATCGTCTTGTCTGTTATTGGTGTCCAATATTACTGTATATATTATGTATTAATATATGTTTGCATTTGGTGTAGTAAATAAATTCGAAGCAACCACCTGATCAGAATTAACGCACACTTAATCAGGTGCTACTTTAATTATCTGCATACCAATACCAGCCAAAAAACTTTTAAGCCTCTTTATGATTAGTGATTGTAGTCAACCTTGCATTAGCCGATAAAGATTGACTTAGCCGACTAAGTAGGTCGATTTTTTAAAAATTTGACTTAATCAATTCTTGGTTATGTATAGTATATATAGAAAATCAACTTTATATAATAGCGATAGTGGGTTGGCTGAAAATTCGGATACATATTATTCTACATACTGAATTTGTATAGCTGGCTAAGTCGACCTACAAATAACTAATTTTTTTTAGTGATAGGAAGAAATTCGCCTGATTGGTCAATTTTTATAGATCTGCACATGACCACCCGTGATGATTAACCAATCAAATTACAGATTCGGTACAGTAGTTCGAATATGTCTTCGTGATATCTAAAAATAGGTTAGCCAATAAAAATTTTGTTATGATCAAAACAACAAATATTTATTTTTACTTGGCAGACTCCTTGGCATTGTTTCTAGTAAAAGTTATGCCTATTTTGGGTTCTTGAAAAACTATTTGTGGTTCTTTGAACTTTAATTTAAGTCTTGTTGAACATAAATATAAAATTTCAAGTCGCAAAATTAAGAGATAAAGTCTGGGGCTTTGTAAAAGCGAACAATACTTTTTTATGTTGTACTAAATAAATCAACCAATAAACGTAAATTTAATGTATGCCAAATTCGCAATCATTACAATTTTTATTTACCTGATTGGTAGATCCTATTTCGTAAACATTACTAAAATCACAAAATTCGCCCATAACCAAAATATTATTACATTAGAATATGTACACTAACAAAAAAAATTATGAAGAAATTTATAAATTATCCCGGGCGGGTCAGTTTCGAAATTTAAATTTTTTTTAATATATCGGCCAATAGAAACGCTCGATGTGCAATCATGTGATTAAACTACACAAATATCCGTTATTGCAAGCATGTAAAAAGCACTAAAGTATATTTAGGCCATACAAACTTATATGTTCGGTTTTCATATAACTAACGGGCCTCTCATGAACTGCCAACCCAGATTTTAACTTTTTTTTGAAGAAATTTTTATAATAAAAAAAAAAATTATTTATGAATTTTATTGTCTCACACCGGGTACCTGGTAAAAATTTCATATGTAAAAAATATTTTAATAAAGCAATACAAACTTATATTATCGGTCTTTATAACACCAACTAAACTTTAGTGACCGACGGATTTTAAAATTTTTATTGATATTCAGCAAGAATATCTGGTAAACCGATTTTATATTCTAAAGAATTTTTAATAAACGAACAGATTTGTATATTTACTGGGCATGAAGATGACCTTTCAAATCACAAAATTGAAAACATTTTGTTTAAAGTAAAAAATCAGGTATGTAGCTGTGTAATGTAATTGCGCTTAAGCAAAGAACGTAGTGTGATCGCTAGACTCGTATCAAGGATCCAAGTGTAGTGATAAACTATTTAGTATTTGTAAAAATATTACGTATCCAATTATCAATTATCTTATGCAATCTATTTCAAAATATCGTTAATATTGTTAATTGATTAAGCTTTGTGGTTTATGTATGAAATTAAATAAAATTTGAATCAATTACTACATATGCTATGTAGCCTACACATCTTGTACATGAAATATACCATACACCTATAAAAAAATTTCGAAAAACGTATCCCGGCTTTTTCAAGATTATTGTTCCATTATTGTTTCAGAAAACGCTCATTTTTCGGAACAAAACATATACAAATTCTTGATCATTTCCATAGAATCCCGGTAATTTTCGTATAGAAATCAAATCCGGGTAAGATTCGGCTTTTACAAGTAATTTTTTGTACTTCATTACAATTAGAAGCCGGGATTTTGAGATTTATTAGGATTCTATTGAAATGACCAAGAAGTTGTGTTTTTTTCCAAAAAATGAGCATTTTCCGGATCAATAATGGAACGATAGTCTGGGAGATGATCACCATATATATTAAAGCCAGTATCGAATTATTCAGGTCGGCCAGATCGGCAACTGTATACAATGAACTTATAAATGAATATAATTACATTTGAAACTGGTGAGCTGATAGATCCATAAATTTATGTGTAGATGATTGATCTTGTTTAAGTCTACAATATTCTTAAAGCAAAAGAAATGTTTAAAAACTATTGATTCAAATTTTATGCTATGCTGAAAATTTGGATACTTAAAGAAAGTGTAACGTCTTTTAAGAGCATGGATGAGTGAAATAAAATCAATTTCTACTATATAGTGATAAATTGAAAATAGCTTTAATTAGTAAAAGTTTATGTCGCAGTCTTTATGAAATACAAGTTTTTAAAACTATCTAAAACTATAGTTAATACATTTACGTATTCAGTTGGGTTTCTGAAGTCATTCTGAAGACAAATCAATTTAAAAATTTTTATAATAAACTTCATTAAGAAAGTATTCTTTTGTGGTAGTAGGGCCCAAACTGCACCTGAAAATTAATAATTAGATGGGTAAAATTCTGTGTACGAAAATTATAAGATTTGCATGAAAATCAATAAGATTCGGGTAAATTTCGGCGCTTGCATAAAAAATTTGAAATTTATTAACCAATAGACACAAAATTTCAGAACACAATAAACTTGATTATCTCAAAATCATATTTTTTCGACTAGCATGAATGAGTGAAATAAAAGCGTTTTCCACTATAGACACTGCTCCAGAGCCTATTGTGCTAAAGAAGTTAGCACGTTAATATCCTGAAATAATATACATTAATGCTCTTATGGACCGGACTTAGGGTTACAGCTATCATAATAGCGATAAATTAAAAATAGCTTGGATTAGTAAAAGTTATGTCGCAGTTATGAAATGCAGGCTTTTAAAACTACCTATAACTATAGTTGATACAATTTACATATTTAATTCAGTTTTTGAAGACATTTCGAAGACAAACCAATTTAAAATTTTTATAATAAATCTCATTAAGAACATGATAAACTTGATTATCTCAAAATTATATCTTCAACTACAAAGCCCCATAATTTATGCCGTTTTATAATGATCTTATTTTAATTAATGTTTCATTGATGATTTTGGTGGTTATGCCAGGCGAATTAAGTGTAACAACTGTATATAAATGAGTTCTTTCTTGAAATAAATCAAGTGCTTCAAAATACATATTATGAATGAAAATACGTTTCATTAAGGTTGAGTATATATGCTTTCAATTATGCATTATACAGTATGTTGCTGAATTAGCATTTAGACGGTACTTATATTACATTAGATCAATGCAAAAAAATATTAGAAACTGAAAATATCATTATTTCGCAAGAATTTAATAATTCAACTTTTTGTCACATGATATGCATGGAGGATTTTATTGGTAGATATATTAAAAAAACAAAAATTTTGGATTCCTGCTTTGCTAACCCGGCCGGGATATGAAAACAGAAAATATAAGTTTGTACGGCCTAATAACCCGGTCTTTTCGTTTTATCAAGGTTATGCTGTATTGTTGTAAGTACTTGGAGTTCTGTAAACCCAGTATCTGCTTAGATTGGTTCTAAAACCATTTAAGTGGATTTAACTTAAAACAATTTAGGCGAAAATGAATTTTATGCATAGACAAGCAAACCATTATAGTGAACCTTGACAAGTGAAAACTAATTACTTATTCAAATCTGCACACATTCGCCAATTTGATTTTTAGGGGTCTTTTTTCGATAAACCATTATACAAACTTCTGCTATTAAATGACATAAAGAATAACAAACGAAACCTTCAAATAAAATAGTTTTTTAACCTCTATATGAGATAAATAAGCAATAAATATTCAAAGAACAGTTACGCCAAGCTGTAAAAGGAAGTACTATCACTAGTTGTTGAAGTGTTTGGGTATTTTCAGGTAGTGAAGGATTGGTTTGTCATTGAATGATTGGTTGTATAATGGGTAAGGGTAAATTCAGAAGCAATTTTCAGAAAAACTACTTTTTTTTTTTTTTTTTTTATTACTTAAGGCGAGGTTATGCCTCTCATCTTTATTAATTCTTTATATTTCATATACAATTTTACTTATTAAACTAATTTCTGACTCAAGATTCAGACTACTTTATTCGTGACCATGACTTACCAAGATATTTTGTATTCCACTTACATCTTTATCTAGATTTTTGCTTCACAATTAACTAATTCTAATTACCCAACTATATCCCCCATGACTTACAATCAAACCTCAATAACTCTCAATTTGGTTTACTCGGGTTATTAGTTTCTAAAGGCTTCCCAGATTGGTATGCCTGCAGCAGAAACGAAACCCACATCTACA